GTGCAAATTGCTAACGTTTTTATTATTTCCCCCCCTTCTATAAAGCATCTGGAGATGCGGTGGCATTTAAACACACTAGAAATGTAAATTTGTATTTCACTTTATGGGAGGAATGTCGCTGGAGTTCTATAATGACACCCAAGGCTGATTTAAATATATCTATTGGGGTGTCCCACAATATGCAGATGGGAAAGTGAAGTTTAGTTTTTCTTTGGATCACATCCTCCTTTCAATTTGGTGCTTTAGGTCTAAATTCAACAGCTGATAATGTCACTCTAATCCGTGCATACTTACAGACTGCTCTTGACAACCTCCTTTTCTCTGCAACCTATGCCTCTATACTGTGTCGTGACTGCAATGCATTTGCATCTGTTGAGCAACCAGTACATATTGAGGGGGTCTCTTTAACCTTGCAGTGGTTTAAGTTGAGCAGAAACATTCGTGCAACTACGTGGCATGATTGTTGAAAACAACAAACTTTTTTTCGTGGTACCCTCGTGTATATTTGGCATCGTTTTTACCCTGTCTAATCACAGGTGATCCAAAACCCGGATCTTGACTGTGCTGGCTCAGAGCAGTTGACGCGGTATCAACCCCGGTCACCGCGGGATTTGGGCTCCATAAAACCGCTGTGCGGAATTCGCGCGAGTCTGCGAGTTCAAAAATGATGAAGCCACGTAGATGAACTGGACGCCATTACATGAAATGGCACAGAGAAGACGAGTGGACCCACGCAAATGGAGGTTGCTATTACTGCCGTGGAGGTTGTCACGTTTGTGCTGCTGCCCTGCCCTCCTCCACTGCAGAGGTCGCAACCGGGTACCCGATACCCGTACCCTACCCGATACCCGGCTACCCGTACCCGGCCGGGTACGGGTACCCGTTTGCGACCCTGGTGCGGCCGGGTACGAGTACGGGTAGGCCGTGAGTCACCGGTGAGTAACCGTTTGTCACTCATTTCGGGTAGGGTACGGGTAGCGTAGGGGTACCCATACCCGGCCGGGTACGGGTACCCGTTTGCGACCCTGGTGCGGCCGGGTACGGGTAAGGAATCAAAACCCGTTTGCGATCTCTGCTCCACTGTGATTTTGCGTCGTTTTCGTGCATTCTTTGGGTGCGACGTGCACGTGTCACTCGACGTGCTGTGAGCTCCTCCTTGGGGAAAGTCCTAAGAACTTCCCGGGAGTCCCAGGAGAAGCTCCCAGCACGCGAAGCGAAACGTCAAGGCGAGAAAACGCACAGAAGAGAGGTTGTCATTGTCTGGCAGGCAGAGCCACCTTATCAGTGTTGACACGAACCCGTGTTATTTGCTGCACATTACAACACACGCAATAAAACGGCAGCGTGGGTTTTGGAAGTGAGCTAGGGGTGAGCTCACGTTTGTTACCTGACGCTTCTGGGCTGCGTGCCAATCCTGATATTGCCTGGGGGGTGTCAGGGAGAGATGGCCTCGCTTAGCGATGTCTGCCTGAGTCACACGCCCGCAGCGGCCTGACAGCGAAACTTCCTGACTGCGTTTGAACTGCTGCGCTCGTTTGTTAAAGATTCGCTCACCGGTCACAATAATGGATGATGCTTTTGAAACTTGAATCTACGCCCGGTGTCTGTGTTTTAACAATTACGCACCAAACGTAATCCGTAGCAATGACTGCAAGCGGGAGTGGGCTTTTGAGAGTACGCTTTTCTTGCTCTGAATATTGGCATTTGTGTCACATTACATGGCAGCAAATTACTGGGGTCACTCATAGGGGATTATATATATTTGTAAGTTTCACGCAACCTGCAATTTCATAATTTTTGGGGGCTTCCGATTTCCATTGTTTATTTTTTTGTAGTTACAAACATGGATCTTAATATATAATTTACATAGGTCACTCAATGACAATGTCGTCTATGTGTGAGATATCACGATGAAACATTGTAACGATGAAATGAATATCCATCAGGTCTGACTGCTGATGAGACTCAACAAGTTGAAACCAGTCCGAGGGTGTTGCTGCTTTAAACAAACGTCGCCGATAGACTCATGGGCTTAAAAACAAATGTTACGTTTGTGTGAAGAAAACATTCTTAATGAAGAAATAATTTGGTCATGCTGCTGTGTTGGCAATGGTGCACAAGCACAATGAACAAAAAACGCAACGCACGCATAAATAACACTGCCTTAAAGCAAATCATTATAGTAATAAGCACATAATGTGTGGGTTTTATGTGCTTATGCAGAAGGCCCATTGCCCAAAATGCAATTATACATATCTTTTCTTTTATGGAAGTGTTATTAATGAGTGTGCCGAGTTTGTGTTGTTAATTATATTATTATTAATTTACTTATCTGAAACGTATCAAACCGTACCTCATACGGTGTCTGTGTGGCTCGTGAGCGCACGCAGTGTGCGCAGACGCATTTCGTCATCGCGTTTCATTTCACTTGGGCAGTCCCAGCTGCCGTTGGTTTGTTACCACGTTACGTCTTTAATCATCATGAATACCCGAGAAAATTCAGAACGCTTTTCAACCACGCGTGCAAGTTTAGTAGACGTCAGTTTAACATGTAGTAGGCTTTCGCGACCAATATTATTCATAATAAACGTTTTTGGGTTAGATCGCGTTATTTATAAATGTGTCGTAACCCTCCACCACCTGACACGGCCAATCAGCAAAAAAGTGTCACGTTGACAAAAGACAAATAGTTCACTACTTTAGCCCACCGGTGTGTTGAAGAGTGAATCCACAACTGTTTCACCTGCGTCATCTTGCAGATGGCCGGTAATGTTCGCATTGATTGCCGACGTCAGATTTACAGTTTGGGAGAGGGCCTGCCTTGGCTGCGTTGGCATTTTTTACACAAATTGCGGATCGTTCCAGCTGTCCTCTGGTCTCGTGGAGGCTTGACGGTATCTGCTGGACGTTAACGATGCAGCGATTGCAATCGATTCTCTTGCTTGCGGGGTGCACCCATCGAGTCGTGTGTGTAGGTAAAAAGCAATTATCTACCAATTGCGGAATTTATACGTGGATAAAATGACGGTGTAGGGTCACCGAGCTAGCCAAAAGCGTACAAACGACGCCAAAAGAAGTGAGAAATAATGCAAATGAGACGAGAAAATCTATATTTATGAAGGGGATGTGGGTGTCAATTGTTACACTGCTGGATCAAGGCCTCCCCTTCTGGTCAGTATGGTTTGGTGAAAGGAGGAAGCCCAGGACCAGTTCAGATTTCATGAAGGACTCATTAGATAGAAGTTAATTGTGCCATTACATGTTTGCTATGTACTATTTGCTGGACACCCTGGAGATGTTTTGTCTTCGAGGGTTTATCCAGATAAAATATGTTTATGAATACAAATTTACTGTGGCTGGTAATTGAGCTCTGGATGTCTTGTTCCAAGCACAATGCGATAACCACCGCGCCACCAGTCTGCCCCAGGCAATAATATTGCTGATAACAATATTACTGTCATTTAATGACGATCATAATTATAACTTGTAATGCTCCGAACAGTATTTGCTCACTCTCGAAGAGAGAGAGAGAATGAAGGGAGTAGGCGGTGCCAAATTCCCTCCAAAGCTCTACGATCCTCTATATATTAAGGTGTTATTGGCCAACTAATGAGTGTTTACATGTTTGAGGACACCGGAGCACCAGGAGAAAACCTAACAGCATTTGTTTGAAAACCCATTTATTTGACCAGAAAAGCATCGCCGAGTCTCAATACTTTTTCACAAAGGGCCTTGCTACATTGGAATGTTTTAGCACTTCAATGAGTGTGTGCTGTGCATGCCGGGAGGATACTGCAGTACTTGGGGAAAGGCTTCAACGCATGTGTTAGGTGTAAAAACGCCTTGGCTGGGAGTTGAACTCGGGATCGCCGGGTTCATGTCGCCGACTGTGTGAGCCATTGCGCCATCACTCTCACCCTCCTCCACCGCGCAGCGTTACTGCAACGGAATTTTAGCGGAATGACCACCTCGCATTGTTTTGCTACGTGCTGTAATTTATTAATTAAATTCGTGTTGTTGCCGTTCATGCTTGCTATGACTCAGTGCGAATGCTTTGACTCATTGCGAATGCTGTTCCAAGTTTGTAAAACTTTTAAATGCTTGCGTGGTTAGGTCATCGGTGGATACATTTGCATTGGAGTGTGTTATTGTTGGCTTGAGAAATCGGCCATGTGAAAGAGTGTGGCACATGTGCCTGTACAGCAATTTTGTTTCAATTCACTGCTGGATGGGGGCCTCCTCCCCACGTCGTCTGGGTCATGAGCGATATTGGACCATACTTCACCATCGTGGTCAGTGTGGCTAGAAAGTGGGGAGGAGTGCTGAGTAACATTGGATTTGCTGCACTGCCCTCTACTGTCAACAGTGCCCACTACATCTGTCTTTTGGACGTGGTGGGTCACCCATCCAAGCACTTGCCAGGCTCAACTCGGCTTAACTTCCGAGACCTGACAGGATTGGGCACATTGTGGGTGACTTGGTCAAATGCCATCATATTGTGATTAAAATATAAATGGGCCTCCTCAACTTGAGTGAACTATAAAGGGCGTTGACCATTACATGACCATCGTGAAAAATGATGCAAAATAGATTGTTTTTGTCAGACCGCATGAGTAAAATGTCATGTTGTCATCCCTCCTCCACCCGATGCCGCCAATTGACAAAGTGTTGTCAAGTGAACAAACGTGCGTTCTTATTTCTGCCTCAGCAGCACTACTGGTGTGTTTTTGTTGGAGAGCAATCAACGTAACATTTAACAATTGAGTAGGATGACGTTTCTCTGGTAGTTACAACCAGCATCATCGGGCAGTTGCCAGATATCTGACACATTTCACTTTTACGATCTGATCCTAAATACACTTGTGAATGGTAATATTGGTCACGAAAGCCTACGTACAATAATCCGACTGCGGTAAAAGTTTCTCCGCTAATACCTCGTTTCCCCATTGCCCCGCAACCACCCCCCCCCGCTCCCTCCTCCCCACCCCCGCTTGTGGCAGGCGTTTGGGCAGGTGTGCACGAAGCAGCGGCGCGTGGCGGAGGACGGGGAGAGCCGCGAGGAGAGCCTGCTGCGGGAGAACGCCTCCAAGGAGGCGGCGCACCACGCGCAGGCGCTGGAGCTGAGCTCCGAGCTCAAGGCCAACCGCGCGGCGCTCTCCAACACGCTGAGCGAGAATGAGCGCCTCGCCGCCGTGTTCGTCGAGCAGCGAGAGGTAGCACTCGCTCCGCCCGCCTCCACCCCCCACCCGCCCGCCGCACCGTTACGACCACCACGCATTTGTACCCGCCACATGGTTGTCCTGTGGTAATGTCAGCCCCGACCTGCAATGTGTCAGAAGGAATGGGTGATTCCAAAGTGAAAAAGCAGAACTTGCTAGGCCCAAGCCTAATCCAGCTAGGCTGGCCTGATACTAAATCCTCATCCAAATGATACCGAGGCAAAGCGAACCCCGGCTCTAAACACTCTTGCCAAATAGAACCTTAGCCCCCCCACTAGCCCCCACCCCACCATGTCTCACGCATTAAAAAACAAAATGTTGTGGGCATCTCCAACCGCCCCACATGTATCATAATTCACGAATAACTGCACGAAGGAATTGTTGAATAGACAAGTGATTGAATGCATGATGGAGCACATTTATAAATCATTAACTCGGCAAACATCAATTGAATGGAGGAATTAACTAAGATCAATGAAAACATGAATAACAATGAGTAAATACACGAATTATGTAATACATTAATGACCACCACAATCCTTAAATGAATGGATGAATGAACAAATGAACCAACGAATGAACACTTGAAATAATCTAAAATATTGACGAGCAACAAAGCGATGACTGAGCATGGAAGGTACAAACGGATGACCCGTGCTGTGCTGATGAGCGCGTTGCGTCTCGGTGCAGAACATCGAGATTCTGGAGCTGCAACGCTCGCGCCTGCGCGACGAGATCAAGGAGTACAAGTTCCGCGAGGCGCGGCTCTTGCAGGACTACACCGAGCTGGAGGAGGAGAACATCTCGCTGCAGAAGCAGGTGTCCACGCTCAAGGAGAACCAGGTGGGCTGTGCGCGGCCGTGGAGCGATCCTGGCTCGGGCTTTGCGAGTCTGCGGCGGGTCCCCTATGCAAGGTTATAGGTCTGTTGTGCGAGTCAGTGGTGACCAGCCTCAGACCGTCAACCTACGATGCTTGAGAGAGGCTGGTTTAATCTCAGCTTGGTGTATGTGAGTCTCTATGCAAGTCTATGGATCTCTGTATAATTGGTTTAAACTCAGCTCAGGCTGTGTGAGTCTGTGGGTCTCTAAACAAGTCTGGGTCTGCATATAAATCATTGGTGGCTGGTCTGAGACCATCTACTCACACCAAATCCGTACCCAAGATTTCAATTGTACCAAATCGAACAAAAACTAATTGACAGGTTTAACTTTTTTTCACGCTCATGGATTGAGTGTTCTGTCTGTTGACCCTGCCACACCTCATTTGTCATTCCTGCCCCATCGCCCTTGCCCCCTTCCCGCACATCACGTCTCAACCAGGTGGAGTTTGAGAGCGTCAAGCACGAAATCAAGCGTCTGGAGGAGGAGGTGGAGTTCCTACAGAGCCAGCTGGAGGAGTCTTTGCGTCTCAAGGAGATCGGCGAGCGCCAGCTGGAGGAAGCCCTGGACGCGCTCAAGACGGAGCGCGAGCAGAAGAACGCGCTGCGCAAGGAGCTTGCCGCCAAGGGCCACGGCAACGGCGACTCGCTCTATGCCGCCCCCGGCGGGCCAGGCGCCGCCGCTGCCGCCGTGGCCGCCGCGGTGGCGCACCTGAGCAACATCTCGCTGGACGGCCTCAAGCTCGGAGACGAGAGCAACGGCTCGTCGGCGCTGGATTCCAGCGCCGGCAGCGAGGAGCTGGCCAGCAACGGGCAGTCGCACAAGCTGAACGGCGACTACGGCAAGGCAATGTACCGCAAGGCGCCGGGACTCGTGTCGGACCTGCTCAGCGAGCTCAACATCTCCGAGGTGCAGAAGCTCAAGCAGCAGCTCATGCAGGTGCGTGGCTGGCCACGGGGAAGGGGTGTGACCAGCGGCGGTGGTCAAGTGATGGTGGGTCGACAGGGCAGTGGCGGTTGCTGCTGTTGTTTCAGTGAATTGTTCAGTCGGTGCCGACTACAGATACCTTTGGCCACACATTAGCACACACAGCTTAGTCACTTCTGCCACTGAAAGAGGTTCTTGTTGTGGCATAAAATAAAAAACACGGCGTTGTTTCCGGGTCAGAAATGTCCCTCTTACCCCATTAGTGTGGCTCAGGTAGTCGTAGTGATGAACAAATTTCATTTTTTGGCTGTTTTGAAGTGGTAGACATAATGTGGACCCAGATTAAATTGAATCGAGGACTGTAGGTTGTTAATCCCTACTCTACAAGATTAGAGCTCTGTGTGTTTATTAGATTGCATTTTGATTTGTGGTTGTCGATATGGACATGAAGTGGCTGCTTGGGTCAAAGGTTAGAATTCTGAGGGCATGGGTTGGAATCCAGGCAGTTGCCTGTAATTGAACTGGGTTCCCGAGTATAGCAAGTTGATTTTTGAAGCCCGGTAACCAGTGACAGCACAGAAGAATCATCACGTTAAATTTGATTCTGTGCTTGATTCGGCACAATTCCAGCTCTCCAAATTAACAACATTGGCTTGATGGTCACGCGATAAACCTTACAGATAGCGAGTGGGAAATCTTAACCCTCTTCCTGTGTGTCCGTCTTGTGTTGCGCCCGAAACGTCGTGATTTAATTTAGTTGTTTTAATTTTAATTTGTTTTATTGTTTACCTACGTGACTTTACCGAAAAAAACAAAAAGTGAAGCTCTCCATCTTCTTCTGAGGGCCGTTCTCCAACACAACGGGACTGCAGCGTCCTGCGAGAGATTAGAACGGATTCTTTGTCTCACTATTCGACGTGGGTAGCGCGATCAGGATAACATTGTGGAGAGAGGGGAAACATATTTTTTTAAGTCGCAGGGAGAGTTGGGGTTTCGGGTGGTGCTGACATCGACGTCGAGCAAGTCGTGTGTGAGCCCCTCGGCGTCGGAGGCCGCTGCGGAGGCGGTGGGGTTTGTTTGTGGAACTCTCTGGAACTCTTCAGCGCTAAAGCGGAGGGATTAAGCCCTTTCCACACGGCAGCCCCACCGCCCCCGCTATGTGTTTTCCGTTGCAAGAAGGCCGTGCGGGGTCACCCTACGTGACCGTCATGTTAATGCACACGTGTTTACCCGTGTGCCACCCTCCCCTCGCTTAACTGTAGGGGATTAGATCATCGTAATAACAATATATGCGAGGTGGGTGCAAACCTGCAACCGCTTGCTGAAGCAACTGTTGGCAGAAAGGCTTCCACTAGAAGCTCTGCTGAGCCTCTCGAGTGGAAGGAGTTTTGGCCTACTCTTCCATGCTGGACACGCATTTTAGAAGAGAATGGGGGTGCTCGTACTTTTTCCCACCACTCGAGACCTCCTGATTAACCAACTGTATATGCGAGTATGTACAACCCTTTGTCAGTCTGCTTCTGGATGAAGGCCTCCCTATGCCCCTTTGAACATGAGGGTTATTTTGACCATACACCATACTTCACCACAATGCAGGTTGTTGGTGGGTGTGCCCAGGACCTGTTCAGATATCTCTCAACTGATGTTAGCCACGACTGGAATCAAACTCCGGTGGCCAAGTTTATAGTGTAGTGTGAGCAGCACTGCTCCTGACTGTATAGTCAAACCCCCTTGAAATATCAGCTGACTTTTTTTTATTGTGCCCTCATTCATGAAAATTACATCTCACAACCGTTGAGGAACCACAGGCAAGCTGCAAGTCAGTACCCAGGCAGTTAGCCAATGCCAACAATTGCCCAAGCTCTGCAGTCCTCTATATATTAAGATATTTTCAGCCACTTAATGACTTACCACTTTATTTCACGAGAAACCTCATTACACAATGCTGTTGTTCTACAGCACATGCCACACACTGTTTACCGCCATGTTGAAAATACTCAGACTGCTTTGAGCAGCTGTGATGTCACTTCACACAGGAATTGCCAGATGCTGCCGCTCCACTAACGTTCATCAGCGATCTGTGATTCTGTTTGAATTCTCAGTTGCATCCCTTTAAATCGTCGTTATCTTCGTCATCATCAGCCGTGGTCTATCCACTGCTGAATAAAGGCCTCCCCAAGCCGCTGTTACTTCTCACGATTCTAAAATGCAACATTCCACCAAACGCCTGCAACACGAGCCAATTTCGTCTCTTCCATCTCCTCGGGGGATGTCCTCTCACGCACCATCTTACTTTAATATAAATCCCGATTGATAGCTTAAATGTATTTTTATCCCAATTTTCATGTTTCTCGGCGTGCGTTTTTTGTGGCAATGGCAATACAAGTGTGTGCGCGCTATCTTTTTTGAGTTTTGTCTGTGTAATTGAATGGACATCGATTACGGGTGGAGGCATAATCACCACAGGTCAGCGCTGCGGGTCCTCCACAGATCAAATCACTGTCGGCCGCTCCTCTTGCTCCTGCCTCATTTATTACCGACCGTCGCTCCCCCGTCGTCCCAGGTGCAAGATTTATGCTGCGGTTCAGCAAATCCTTTCCCTCTGGGGAATTCTCCGGAGTCCGAGCCAGCCGACTATCCAGCGACGGCGACATGATCGCGGCCGCTCGGGGGGAATGGAACGAGAATTAAAACGCCGCCATCAGCAGTTACAAAATCTGATTATTGTTTTTTTCCCCCCGCGATTTTATCCCAATTGTATTACCGGCATCAGGTCATGCGAGGGGAGTATTTATTCAGATTTCTCATTCGTGTTGGAATCTGATATGACAGAAATACCTCCTTTAAATCCCTTCAAGTGTCCTCTGGTCAACACAGTAGAGGGTAGAATTTCCCCACCCCCTCTGCGTATTAGGATAATATTTGTCACATGACCAGTCACACCCGATATTTTAATTCTCGCAGAGCTGGAATTGATCCAAACTTTTATGTGAGCAGGTTTTGTTTTGTGTGCGGTCATTGGTTACCATCGGGCTGAGACCATCAACTCAGAGCTACACGTGAGATATTATTGGGTTTTTTCAGTACTTTACCGAAAAAATCCAAGAATATTAATCCTTGCAGTCACGAAAGCTTCAAATCTACACTTGAGAACCTGGTTTAATCAGACGCTGCTGGAATCCGAATTTAGACCAAAGGATCTCGGCAGGGCTGGCTCGGAATTTCTGGCCCCTGCACGGAATTACGCATGGAATCACACGTTTCCATTAGAAGAAAGGTGCGACGTGTTGACGAGTGAAAAGAAAAACACGCCACCCAGCGCAGTTACTCCGTTCATTTTTCTCCGCTACGAGTGGAAACTGATTTGATTTTCTTTGTGCCACAGTCACAGTAAATATTGCAGCATGCAGCAGTATTGAAGCACTGCCGCTGCTGCTGCTTGCGAATAATAAAACAGCAGCTATAAATAGCCAAAGTCAAAGGGGCATTCCGAGTAAACTATCACGGCCGCTAGCACCGCTCACATTGTTACGTGCCGTTGCTGAGCCCACGATGGTCACCATTTGTTGTGAGCGATCCCCACCAGCTCGTCGCTTCCTGAGATTATGGATGATAAAGCAGCGCATGCGTTGTTATTCCAAGTGGCTCAGCGGTAGAGCAAACGGCCCACAATCGGAAGGCTGTGAATTCAAATCCTGGTTGGTAGCTTTGATTCAGCCCATCATCCCTCATGGTCCATGAATTTAGTTCCGCTCTGCGTAGAAGTCAACGGTGTTTGTCCTGAGGATAGGGGATACTGTGATGGTGAGATGTTAATTACCTTGCCTGATACGCAGGAGGTCGTGGGTTCGATCCCGACCCTCACGCTGTATATTTGGAATTTGCCTGTTCTCCCTCTTGTAGTGTGGATTTTTCTTCGGGTCCTCCAGTTTTTCCCTTCACATTTAGAAAGATGCATTTAGAGTAGTTGGCTGCAATTAATTTCCACGTGCTCAGCCACTTTGGTGAGCTATCATTTGTGGCCAGGTTGCTTCTGAAAAAGAGCTATATAGCTCAGTGGGCCTTACCTGGTCACATAAAAAATAGTTTAGTTTAGTTTCAACTCACCCCTTCCATATGAATGTGGAATTTTTACAACTGGCTTCTTTAGGGTTGTAAACGGATGATGAGCACCAATGCCCAAGTGCTCATTTGAGCAGGAAGTCAGTCTCTCTTAATGACTTTTTTGATGTGTTACGTGTGATCATGGATTTAGAGGATGCGCAACCCCCAAACAGCTGTGCTTATATAATCTGCAAAGCGATTGCACTGATGGCGTTTAGTATTTGCGGTGGTATCAGCGTCGCCGCTCATGAAAAATGTAGATCCCTGTGTCGAGTCTGAGTGCTTTTGAGTGCATTCACACTGTCCAGAGATTGTAGCCTCTGTTAAAGGACTGCACTGATTTGCCACTCCCTCCCTCTTGCATGAGAATCCTCCAGTTTCATTCTGTTTGTGTTTATAAGGCACATTTATGCCAGTCGGTTTATTTGTTTATTCAGAAAGGCCTCGGTGCGTTTCAAGATTTTCAGGAAGATTTCTGCTTCGAGATGTTCGATAGATTGCTCTTCAATGGGTGTTTTGCTGCATGTGGGAGGAAAGCAGACTACCTGGAGAAAACTTACCATGTGTACGAGGGGATCACCCTCAAAGGTCCGCAGGGATGGGTTCCCGAACCCACTTGCTGTACTGTCGTCCCCTTGCCACAGCCCCAGCTGGTTTTGGACTTTGACAAATCTCTGTGTGATCCATCGACCCTCACCCTCGAACGGCTGGATCACAGGCGTCTATAGCGATTAAATATTATGCTCTTTTTCACAGATGTCCAGGAGATGAGAAGCGCCGCAGCCAAAAACCACAGGGCACATCGTGCAAAAATGCCTGACGCTCGGTCCATTCTCTGGTGGAATCTCAGACATTCACAATACCGCTCCCGTAGCCCTCAACGGGTTCACCACCAACATAGACACAGAACCCTTGCCAATCATCCTGCCACACGGAAGGAGAGGAATTGCGATGCGCTGCATAAACTCTAAATTGGCCGCTCTGGATCAACCGTCTCGGCATGCGGCATACGCTCCCTCCCCCGTGCAGTGGCCCGCATGTAGGGTTTAATGAGCAGGGCAATGAGGATTTATTCTGTCAGCGGTGACCCCTGCAGTCCCGCCTCGCGCGGCTGTGGAAAGGCGGCGATTGAAGGCAGCGCCGGCTCGGCGGCGGTTACAGCGTTCTGCCGAGAGGGCGAACGATCTCACGACTGTCGCGTGGGTCACGGCCGAATTCCTCCATCGAGATCGTTCGCTGCCGTCTAAAGAGAGCACAGGAAGTATTTTTGTTTATTTCAATTAAAAATGAACGAGGAGCTGGCATGCCTGTCTGTTAAGGGGGTGCTTCAGGGAGCAGAGGTGGCCGGGTGGCTTCAAGGGTCAGAATGCTGAGCTGGCACCGCTGAGATGGTGGGTTTGAGGTCGGGGCGACCAATGGTGATTAAACTGGGTTGTCAAGTGCCGTGTTGAAAACGATACAAATAAAAGATAAAAGAGAAAGGTAGTCTCCCTTTCGTAGGAGATTTGACGGCACGAAAAAAACCTGGAATCGGCAGCGCCTGGGCTGCGTTAATAAATAACTGAAATTCATAGGAGCGACACTCAAACATGACTGCAATAGCACGCCTGCGGTAGTAACCGGTGCAATGAAATATGATTTTGAAGATGTTTTTACCACAAAAGGGATGAGCACATACCTTTTCCTAGTTTCTGTAGGCCAGTGTTTAGTGCATGCCGGCAAGTACCTAGTGCCGTTTTGAACACATTACGCCTACCCTCTGCAGCTTGCACTGGCTACAGGTCGACTTCCACATCCAATTCAAGTGATTAGTGCATGCTGGCAAGTACCTAGTGCCGTTTTCGACACATTACGCGTACCCTCTGCAGCTTGCACTGGCTACCGGTCGACTTCCACATCAAAATTCAAGTGTTTAGTGCATGCCGGCAAGTACCTAGTGCCGTTTTGAACACATTACATGTACCCTCTGCAGCTTGCACTGGCTACCGGTCGACTTCCGCATCCAATTCAAGGTTGCTCTCCGAACCTACAAAGCACTGCATGGTTTGGCCCCTAACTACCTGCAACACGGCATCTCCCATCATCGGGCACATACAATACAGTCTGTTCAACGGGAAGGGCAAGACTTGCCCAGCTCACGATTTTTCACCCGACGCTGGGGGACGGCTTCGTCGAGCGCAGCCCCAAAGATCTGGAACACGCCCGCTGCCACCAGACATTGGAAACGCGCATGTCTCGCAGTTCCATGGTCCATGCAAGACACATCTTTTCAGACTTTCCTGCCCGTAAAATCTAAAATGAAACGAACTGCTTCTTTACTTAATTGTTTTATTTACTACTTACCTTTCTTCTGGTACTCGTTGCGCACGCTTGCACTTTATTTGGCGCGTGGCTGTAATTTACTTTGCACAGTCGGTGTTAGCTGCTGAGGTCGTGACGGGTTTCATTCCGGTTACTCAATGCCCCCCGTACCGTTCCCATTGTGTTGTAATGGGCACTGACGCTTACTTTATTGGGGTGATATTGTCACGTAAAATAAAAGACTGATTAATTGACCGTGCCTGTAAGCAAGTGCCTGAAGGCCAGTGCCGTGTCCCCGCAGTTTTGTAAGCATTGCATGTGGCTGATGTTTTTCACAAGAACCCAAGCACACGCCCTTCAGAGAAATGGTCTTCTATGTGCTATGACAAACAGCCATTGCCTGGAATGTCACATCTTGTAAATATGTTTTCCTTTTAAGTCTGCTGTGTTATTGACGAATGTGCCAGGTTTTTTGTTGTTCGTGCTTATGCACCACTGCCAATGCAGAATCACACGCACAAAGGAACATGATATTTCTGCGATAGTTACTACATGACTCATTGCGAAGGTCACCTCATGTTGTATCCGTCCATCCTCTTGGTTCCACCACCAGGACATCGTTCGAGTGCTACGATGACACCCCACAGAATATATCACTTCATATTAATTTCCTTTTCCTGATGAGCGATTCTTCAATATCATGTTGGTTTGTTGAAATTTTCAAGTTGATTTTGTTCAGCCAGGTGAGAACTCAAGAGACTAGAATGAGTCTCATTTTGCAAGAGTGGCCAACAGTGGCCTGGGTCACCAAAATGCCAATAGAAAAAAACAAGCATTAGTTTGTTTGACTGCTATCTCTCATGCGGGGGTGGGAAAACCTACTGCCCGGTAGGCCTTATCCGAACCACTACTTCATTTTATATGACCTCCAACCGCATGGGACCGACCAATTAAAAACGGACCTAACAAACGATATTCACCCGTCCATGCAAGCATCTTGGTAGCACTAATCAGATACTGGAGGGTGAATTGTTTGAACCTGGAAACAACACTGCGTTTCTTATTGTAGCGGTCTTCATCACTTCTGTCACTCCATGGGGCCTCTCGCAGTCACGTCAGTGGCTGAGCTGTGCGCATTAACTTGTGGTCGCCCACCAATGGTATTTGAAAGTCCTCCTTCGGTAAGGGATAGGTTCGCCACTCCTGCTTCAGTGGATCGACTGATAAAGTCGTTCGGTGGATGATGGCTCGTGTGTGTGTGCGCATGTGCGTGCTCGCGGCAGATGGAGCGGGAGAAGGCGGCGCTGCTCGTCACGCTGCAGGAAGCGCAGCGGCAGCTGGACCACATGAAGGGGGCGCTGTCAGAGCAGCGCGAGCGCGTCGCGCGCCTCTCCGAGCACGTGGGCACCATGAAGCAGCTGCAGGCACGGGCGCAGCGTGGGCGCGAGCCGTCGCAATCTGGTACGGTCGCGCGACGATCGCCAGCTCGATCGCTTAAGCGCTCGCTCGATCACCCAGTTTCATCTCGATCTTGCTGTCGGCGGCGACACCCTTGAAGCTCATCCTTGTTTTTTCGAGTTCTCACCCGGTTAAACAAAATCAGCTTGACATGACTTGGAGTCACGTCTTTCAACACTGCCGGCTTAGTTCTGTAAACAAGAGATCAGCACCACCTTGTCTTGATGCTCATTTGAGCAGGAAATTACATTGACAGTTTTACTTTTCATACTATACTGAACTTACAAAATCCCTGCTGTTAAGACACAGTCAGCAAATTCCATCGCTGCATTCGCACTCATCGCTGGGCTGCCGTGTGCCTTGCGAACGCTGTCGCAGGAGCCACCAAGGACGAGCGGGATGGAGCCGTGGAGGAGGGCGATGGATACTACGAGGTGGACATTAACGGGCCAGAGATCCTGGAGTGCAAGTACCAGGTTGCGGTCATGGAGGTCAGCGACCTGCGCAGTGAGCTCAAGGTCAGTCGGTTTTTCTTGCCACTGTTTATATGTCAATTGCGCTACTGGCATCGTATTGAACAAGACATTTTTATTTGGAATCAACCATCAAGGTGATGTCACAGAACTCCTTCTGAGATCTGTTCAAGTGGCATCTGGTCCACTCAGTAGAGGGTAGCACATATCTAACCGCTCTATCCTTGAGAGCAATGTTTGTTACTTGGTAATAACCAAATTAAGTGCAGAACCAATTTAATGTGATTTTTTTCTGCGATCTGGGATGGTGCTGTGGTGTTAACGGTCAACTCGCTGGACCCGCAATCCGTAGGTCGCCGGTTCAATTGTATCTCCCGGCGCGGCAGTTGAAGCTATGGGCTAGTTTTTTTAAATGCGCTTACCCCCCCCCCCCCATCCAACCATCAGTATACAACCACAGTTAGTTGATCAGCAGGCCGCTTGTGCTGGGGTGAAGTGTGGGTAATCCCACCTCTTCTAAGAACGTTTGGCCAGCATCGAAGTATCGACCAATTGCCCTCTAGTGGGGCTTGAATTCCGCCAGCATGGCCCCCGGTGGGGCACAACGGTCAGCGTCGGTCCTGCGGTGTAAGGAGGCATTACTTGTCATGCCAATTTTTATGCATTGGCTTTTCCTGTTGTCTGATTATTTTGTCATTATTATTCGCTTTTATCATAGAGTGTTCTTCATTTTATTGGCATTTCGAGTGGAGTTGTCGTTGATATTGTTATTATCAGCTTTCTATTTCGCTCAGATTTTATCTATACTTGTGAGTGTAGTTTTTATTTTTACGTACAGCGCTTGGAGATATTTCGATATGAAAGGCATTTTATAAAATCGAGGTTATTATTATTAATAAATGCCCGTCTAGTTGGGGGCTCTTCTGCCAACAGTGGCGTGAGCGAGCAATTGCAAGGCTGCTCCTATACCTTTCGTCTTTGTGTGCCGCCGCCGATGGCGATGACAAAGGTGACGAGAGAGCAGTGCACGGAGCTGAAGGAGCGCTGCGTCGAGGACAAGGTCAAGTTCGAGGCGGAGTTGGAGCTGCTGAGCGAGCAGACGACGTCGCTTCAGGAGGCGAGCCGAGCGAGCGGAGAGAAGATCTCCGCCCTGGAGAAGGAGCTCAAGGTAGCAGCCGCGACACGGCCCGGATACGCGAGCCCGACCCGCTTATGTTTTCGCAGTGCGACGGCGTTCTGGGGTTGCGCCTTGTGTCGTTTGTTCGGCACGGTGTCCTCGAATGTGTCCCTCCGCGTGGGGGCGGGGAACCCTCGCAAGGAGTTGTAGAGAGTCATTGGCATCTCTTTTGATGATCGTCGATGCGATGACTCGACTCATCAGGTAACACGAAACTCGCTGGTGGAGAAAACAAAAAAATAAATAGGTAAATATGGCAGTTGTTTTGGTTTTTCAGCAAAATGGAGGACAATTTATCGACGAGGTTTTGCGGGAGATTACATCCAACATCATCAGCTCTTAACTAAATCTCAGCTCTCCTGGAGTGAAAAAGCTTGCTGATCTGGGTCCTGAAGTAGGTTCCATGACATCAACAGGACAGTTTTGCAGGTGAAGAGATATTAATAATTTGCGTTGAATGCTGGTTGATTGGGAGTGATTGGCATTATACCTACACTGTCTTACGCAAAGTAAACTAGTTATAAATCATAATATTGGTTGTTAAGGCCTGCGTATAAGAGACGGAAATTTTTGGCGCCGATTTAGCGACGCGATCGACTGTATTTCCCTGCGCAAGGTTACGAATGAAACGAGCCGAGCGCTCTTGCCAGGTGAGAGCTCGGATTGCAGGTCTGGGCGCCCACTGCGATTTTTTTTATTCCCCCCGCCCCACCCCGGCGGTATTTAAATTATTTCATTTATTTTAATCTCTCCTAAGGGAGCGGGGGTGTGGGTACAAAGCCTTCCTGGTCGAACACAGGCTCATGAATTTTTAAAGTTGAGAACCAGCAAGTCGAGAGATGGAACGGACCCAGAGATTATTGTGTCTCTACAGAATGGGTGGCGGTGGTCGTGTGTATATATTTGCCTTTGTATGTCTCTGTGTCTCTGTGGAGCAGCTTTGTAGTTGTGGGTAGCTTGCTACATTACGAACCCAGTTACCCGAGTTCGATTCCTGCTCATGGCCAACACCAGTGACGATTATCTGAATCGATCCTGGACCTCCCGTAGGTCAAATGAGTACCCGATGCAGTGTGTAAACATCGCCACTTGAGAAACAAAGGCAGTTTGGCGTGGTGCTGACCACCCATCTCCTCGTATGCCCTGCCAGTCTTAGATGTTCGTAACAGCACTTGCCCCAAAAGTCTGTGAAGCCTATACGGAGTTTTTTTGTTTTTGTGTATGCCATATGTATCTGCGTCTCTTTATGTCGAAACAAATGAAGTACGCACCACCCCACTGTGACTCCCAATGTACCGATCCTCCAAATAAACCTCATTACGATAAGTGGTTTTTTACCCTTCTATCTGGCAACAAAACCACTTATCATATTTTTACTGGCAAATGAGGTTCCAATGGTGTAAACCTCATTACCTCTGCCTCCTCTCCTCCTCCCCCTCCTCCCCCTCCTCGCTGTTGTGCTGCCAGCGCGCGACCAAGACAGCGACGGAGAGCCAGGGCGGCCTTAATGTGGCACAGGAGGAACTGCTGTCGCTCAGCGAGGAGCTGGCGACGCTCTACCACCACGTGTGCATGTGCAACAACGAGACGCCCAACCGCGTCATGCTCGACTTCCACCGGCAGGGCCGCGGCTCGCGCGGCGGCGGCGCCGGCAGCACCGGCGCCGGCAGCGGATCGGCGGCGGCGGCGACCGCCACCAAGATGGCACGCATAACACGCATGCTCTTAGCAATCCAACACCTCCGTAGACTTCAGAGCCAGTCCGGAGCCACAGGAGCCGCTCCCGAGCTGGCACGCGTAACGCACAACACGGCACTGACTAACTCCCCTCCCACCTCCCCGCACGCACGCACTTGCATGTCACTCACTCAATCGCTCGCACACTCACTCGCTTAGTCGCTCACTCACGGGAACTGCTGTCGCTCACTCACGGGCCACGCAGTATCCGGCCCTGCAGTATCCGGCCCTGCACTCGCTTTCTGCGCGTGTGTGTGTCACCGCCTACCTCTCTTGGCTTGCCTTTCTTCTCGTGCTGTTTATGCATTGGGTTTGTTTACTGGAAGTGCAGGACGTAACTGAGAAATTGGAAACTTTTTTTTACTTGTGATTTCCGATCTGATGTAAACTGTCAGTGCAGAGGGGCGTGTAGGCTGATGGGGACAGTAATGTAGTAGGAGAGTCTGTGGAGAACTATTCACGTACACATGAGCGTGATTGTTTCAAAGAAATGTGTCCGTCTCTGACACGTGACCTAGCACGATGGGATGGTTGGTGGAGCCACCGCACTGGCAGCTCTCCCTCCCACCACCCTGCCCGGCCTTCAGCCTCACCATTCAGCTGGTTGTGATTTAAGCCCATCCAGTAACAATAATGATAAAACGCAAGTAAAGTTTGACAGATTGGGCCATTGCCGCAATCAACTGCACTACACAAGCTGCCACATCTGTCACTGTAGTTGTGGTGATAACTGAAGCTGAATAAATAACGGCTCCTTTACCCATCCACTGCTGGATGAAGGCTCCAAGATCTGAGCATTGCGGGGTAAGGCAGAGGATAATGAGCATCCTCCCACTAAGCGAGCTTTAACTGGGGGAATTGGCGCCGCACCTTCTCAACGAGCGATTGACCCCATGCTTTCAATTTCCAACAGCAGTTGCCCCACCAGCGACCACCGCTGATTGCGCGTGTGCGACATCTCCGCTGTGCCCTCCCGCCCCCCGCCAGGCCCCCGACGGCAAGTGCTCACCGCTGCTGCCTCACAAAGCGGTGAAGCAGCACGAGGAAGGAAGTGGTGACTCGGAGCCAACGGCGGCTGCACCGCCGGGTGGCAGGGAAGGAGGAAAGGGAAGCACAGCGCCGGCCGCCGCTGCTGCCGCAACAGTCGCCGCGCCGTGCTGCCCCGTGTCGGAGCCGATCGCCGATGGACCTGGTGAGTCGCGGCAAAGTCATGTCGCCACTCACCTGACGCTCACCACCTCCTCCGATGCCTCCGGCTTCACCCCGCTCATCTTCATCCTCGCCCGCACTGTGCTCCCCCTCCCACCTCCTCGTATTGCCACACGACGGTTCACCAATCAAACCTCCGCGCTTGCGTTTCCGCAGGCGTGGAGCCCCTGCGACGGGAGGCCATGACGGTGGACAGCCTGGTGGGGATGATTCGCGACCAGCTGCGGCACCTGCAGCGCGCCGTGGAGCGCGCCGCCGAGCTGAGCCTGCAGCGTGCCGCCGCGCACGAGCTGGCGCCCACGTGCGACCGCGACAAGGAGGCCCTATTGGAGGAGATGCTCAAGCTCAAGTCGCTGCTGAGCACCAAGCGCGAGCAGATCGCCACTCTGCGAACCGTGCTCAAGGCCAACAAGCAGGTGGGCTCGCCGAACTTTTGTTGTTGCTGGTGGCTGCCCAGGTAGTGGTGGTGGTTGGTTGGTTGGGTGGTTGGGTGGATGTGGTTGGCCAGGTGCTGGTGGTGACTGCTTGCTGGGTGTGTGAGTGGCACTGCAGGGACAATGTCATGAGATAAATTATGTCGTGGCTGAGAGCATATTTCCTTAATGGTGGAGTCGGCAGCCGGGCCTGAGCATTAAAAGCATGCTGACTGAGCCAAGTATTTATCACCACTTAAGAATTATCATCTGGTAATAATCCTGTTCGTTTGTCCATTTCTCATCCGTTGCATGACGTGCGTGTGTCTACGTTTCGCCCATTGTAACCGCGCTTTGTGACGCATCCGCGAATTTGGGTATTTGGTTGTCCGTACTTATAAATTTTAATCGCCCTCTTTCAGCTTCGCGACCTGGTTGTCGGTCACCCTGATCACCCACCCCCTCAAGGCTATAATAAACTCAGGCAATTCCAGGCAATTGTTGCCGGCAATCATGGCCAGCATTCGTTCTAAAAATATAAGAACAATTATAATATACCCAAATTTGAGGCTCCTCTGATCCCTGCTTTTACATGCAGACAACCAGAAATAATGCTTCCAATCAGATCACAGATAACATGATTACCCAAGGGCATGTTGTACCGACCAGTTTATCAAACACGTTGGGTGTGCCTTATAGGGGTTTTCCAGTCATCTGGAGACCGGATGTCCGGGTGGCCACCTTTTTAAAGTAATCGACAACAACGAAAACGTAGTCTATTTCAATTTCTGTTCGGTGAATCCGCTGTACGTCCCGGTTCTCGTTAACCGTATTGGTGGTTGTCGCCACCGAGCAGACGGCGGAGGTGGCGCTGGGGAACCTGAAGAGCAAGTACGACAACGAGAAGTCGATGGTGACGGAGACGATGATGAAGCTGCGCAACGAGCTCAAGGCACTCAAGGAGGACGCCGCCACCTTCTCCTCGCTACGCGCCATGTTCGCCACGAGGTACCCTCACACAGAGCTGCCCTTCCCTGCCTGCCCTCGCACCTTCCCCCTCCACCCGGTCCCGCCCTTTCCCTGCCCTTATGCTGACTGGCCCGGCCTGTCTCGGCCGCTGCTCAGCGCTGGAGAGCCAAACACTTTGACTGGAGCCCTGAAGCTAGCACTGCAGCCGATCTGTGGCTGTGAACCAATTCTGTCCAAAACCCTGTCCATACCCATCTGCTTTCTCTCGTCATTAATGATTGAGTTGAATCGTGAAAATTGATGGAATTGCTCTTGGGGCGCGGTGGAAGAGTGCTGCTCCCCAGTGTGGATGGTGGGGTCACTTGAAGCGATTTCAGAAGCAGTTCCATGATATCTTCTTCCACGGACCGGTTCTCCGCACCTCTGTGCGAGGGATCCGAATGGATTCATCGTCTCGTGCCATGTCGCCGATGGCACGATGGGGAACAAACTTGGGGTAAAAAACCAAAGAAATGTTTTTTAAGACAATTTAAATTCGTTCAGCTGAAGTCCTGAAACCTTCTGGTTGGTCCAAGCTTCTCCTGCGAGATGACAGCCAGAGCGGTAGAGGACATCGATCACGCCGTCGGCTCCCCCCCCCCTCGCCCTCCCGGCCCGTTACTCCTGGCACCGCGCCGCGTATCTCGGAGCCTAATGCGCCTGGCGACCAGCTGACTGCTGGCCGTGGCTGTTAAATGGAACCGCTGACAGTTCCCCGCCAACAGTTTTGTTCATCTTGGAGTGAAGAGCCACGGGGTGACCGTGAGTCGCTGCTTCTCTCTCGGTGACGGCGAAACCAGCTGTGGAAATTCTATATTCCTATGGCGAGCGTCGGTATACATCCTAATGCCACTTAGAAGCAACCGCTCAGTGGTGTCCCTGCCAATATATTTACTGGACTTCAGAGCTAAGAATTGCGGTGTGATTATGTTTGAAGGAGTGTGAGGCGATGCCACTCTTTGTGGGTGTCCCTGAGCTTCTTTCTGCTAGTCCATTGCTCCCTTGGCATGGCCAATTCTTGGAGCGGTCTCTGCACTTAATCCAGCAGTCGATTGACAAAGAGGCTGCATTTAATGGTGACGATCTTGTTTTGACCCATGAACGTGACACGTGAACCGAGATTCAAAAACTCAACGAGTCTCCCTGCAAAAGCGAGCGTCAGGAAGTGGCGCACGTCTTCATTTAGTGGCTATAGGTTAGGTGGCGGCAATTCTGCATTTCTATGGCCGGGGACCAGCATATGCTTGAATGCACCTGACAGTTCTTCTGGCCGTGGCTTTCAAAGCCCCGTTAACGGCGTCCTTGGCAAGTTTAAATTTACCACGAGTCTCTCCACTCCTCGTTGTTGGTTGGCCCCCTTCGCTATGTTACTGGATCTTGAGCCACCCGTTCCACGGTGACAGCCGCTGTTGTTGACTTGGCATGTCTTGGAAGAGAGGGGGTGTGTTGAGCCTTAATCGGACGTAGTTGGCCTGTTAGGTTGAAGTTGGGCTGCAGGTTTGTGTGCTGCTGCTGCGTCTGCTGTTGCATGGTCCGGTTACATTTTGTGCACCTCGCTATTCGGTGAATTGTCACGATTTGGGTGTCGGGATTGGATTCAAAATGCGAGTCCCTTTTTGTCTCATTTTTATCGTCTCGTTTGTGTTGTTGCATCTCCTGCTTTCTTTTTCCTTTCTCATTAGTAGTTTTCATTTTTTTGCTTCATCTTTATCATTCGCATACAGTTTTTACAAATTGTAAATATGTTTTCACGTGCACGACACGATGCACTGTATCATGAACGTAAGAATCTTCTTTTATCCATGGATGGACGATACACGCCGAGAATTTGGTATACGGCTCTTATAAAATTAGATTTTTTACACGGATGATCCCATTTATACAGTTTCACGGCTATTTAAGTCGGGGGGGAACTACGGTGCGTGATCACAGCAGCGCAAAGCTGCAGGCATTGTGCCGTTGTCCATCGTGGTAGCGTGCCTGTTTGACGCTTGGCAGAAACGCTGGGCGGTCCCGGTGAGTTAGCTTGGGACCTCCGACCACGCCCGCTGTCGGTGCCTGTCGGAATAACTCGAGCCTGCATTGTTTCTCCATGTGGTGCGTGTGGCCTGCGCGTGCACACTCCACCCACTGCCACCCGCGCCGCCCCCGCGCACGTTTTTCGCGAGCATCCCATCTTCCGCGAGCTTGCGGCGAGCGCGCGTAGGTCCGCGTGTCGCCCCCCCATCCCGCCCGGGTCTCCGATCATCTCGAACGCGCGCTTGCGCTTCGCTTGCTCACATGCTCGCGTGTGCGTGTGTCTGCGCGCGTGCGTGTGTGCGCGTGCGTGTGTGCGCGTGCGTGCGTGTACCTGCGTTTGTGTACATGTGCGCATACGCCCGACCACCCGCTCGCTTGCCTGCCTGCACCCGCCCCCCGACCTCCCTACTCCCCGCCCCCCTCCGACTCCCGCCTTCACCCCCACGGCGTGACGACAGGTGCGACGAGTACGTGTCGCAGCTGGACGAGATGCAGCGGCAGCTGGCGGCGGCGGAGGACGAGAAGAAGACGCTGAACTCGCTGCTGCGCGCCGCGATCCAGCAGAAGCTGGCGCTCACGCAGCGCCTCGAGGACCTCGAGTTTGACCACGAGCAGACGCGGCGCGGGAAGCCGCGCGCCGGCCTGCGAGCCAAGGCCCCCAGCCCCAAAGTAAGTCAGAGGCACGGCGCCACGGCCGACGGTGTCACCGCCGCTGTGCAGGCCATGTTTAACGCGTCGGCCATGGACGGGGCAGCGGTGGTGGCCGCGATGGCGGCGGCTGAGGGCAGAGCGGTGCAAGCAGCGACGGCTGGCGGCAGACGACCGCCGCCGGCCCAGTCAAGGCCCAACGAAGGAAAAAACGCACGAAACAATACGAAAGTGGAGAACTCTTGAGTTTTATTTATTTTAGTTGACGTCTTTTTATTTTGACTTTTCGGTGAAGTGTACATAGGGTGGCGGCGAATATTGTGGCGCGTCAGAGTGTGCGGGTCGCGCGGGTGACCGATGTGCTCGCACCCGCCATGTTTGTTAAGTAAAACGTTTGAAGGTCACCTCGCGGACTGTGCCTTTCTTCCCTGAACCGCAAACACAAACTTTTAAAATCAACCTTCATTTGTACCCTACAGAAGTTCTACGTACGTAAGTTCTACCCTTAACGCATCCCCAAAGCCGCAGTAACTTGAAATTAACGCCTTTTTTTTTTACGACTACTACACAGTTGTATTCCATTGTATCTTTTGCAGTTTCGTAGTGTTGAAAATTAAATTACCGGAGAAAGACTATTCAGTTGTGCCTTAACGGAGTTTGGCATTCTGTCAGGGGGCCGGAGGCCGCTTGGCCGATGAATTATTTGGAGATGCGACCGCAACTGACAATTTAACGATTGCCTCTGTCGTCGATGATCTGGGATTGCGAGCCGGCCGCACAGCGAGCAACTCACCCTGTTAACGCGCGAACGCTTCCACTTAACCCTCCTATTGGCCTGCACCGACCGCGATTTCTAACCAAATTAATGCTGTGACGCCAACCGCTCGGCGCCCGCTTTTAACCCAGGCGGCACACTCCACTGGCGCGCCAGCGTGCTTCAGCAGCAGCGAGTGCCTTTTGCAGTGGCGGCGTTTCACACGGGGGAATTTTAACCGTGCTGACCCAGCCTTTTCCGCACGCCGAGTCTAAATTTGGCCCGCGTGATGCGGAGTTGCAACCGCCCCCCTCCTCCAAGCCCACTCCCTCCTCTCCCCCACCCCCTCATCTGCCTCTGCGTTATTACGTGTCCTCTTTGTGGAGGTTGAGTTAAGGATGGAGTAGAGTCCCGCTCAGAGGGGAGAAACAGAAGCTGGGATCAGCTGAGAGAGATAGCAGGCAGCCAGACTAATAAGTGACCGAGTGAGTGGGAGACTGGCTGGAAGGGTGGGTGGGCAGGTTGCTCATGTGTTTTAGTGGTTGTGTAGTACGGTGGATGGGTGGGTTGGCTGGTGAACATCTGAGGGGGTGAGTGACTTCTGCTCAGGTAGCTCAGCGATAAGCTCGGTGAATGGCTAGATAATCGATTGGCTGGGTGCAAAGCTGAATGCGTGTCTTGATTGGTTAACTGGCTGTTTGGGTGATTAACTGGGTTATTGATTGGATAGGTGGCTGGGTTGGTGGCTGAATGTTTAGCTCTGTGTTTGGGTTACCAATTGACTGGGCAGTTGTGTCGTCAGGGTTATTGGCTGGGTGGGGAACTGGATTGGTGGCTGAATGATTAACTTCGTTATTGGCTGTGTTATTAGTTGGCTATCCGATTGGCTGGGTGGAGTGGGTGGCTGGGTTACTGGTTGAATAATTTGCATAAATTATTGGCTCGTGTTATTAGTTGGCGAGGCTATTGATTGGTTGCCTGATTGGTGGGGTGGTGTAAGCAAGCGGCAACATAATTTTCCCGCAGTCTCTTTGCGCATTGCCGTGCAGCGTGGCAAGAATTCCGGCACGCTCAAGCGACAAACACTGCAGACGCCATCCGTCCTTCCGGCCACTGCCCCACGGGGTGGGTGGGGAGAGGAGAGAGGTCCCACAGGTCACCCCCTCCTCCCACTGGCTCCCCCTTTCCCCCACAATGCAGCTGTTGTCTCCCCCCTACCCGCCCCGCTGCGTTGTGCTGTCGCGTTGGGTGAGCGCCACCTCGCGTCCGCATCTAATCGCCCGTCTCTTAATGGACTCTACGTAGATTGTGAGCAGTCTTATCCAACCCTGTCGCCACAGTGCAACACAGCAGTAGAGAAGAGGCCGTCTCCCAGTAACTACAGGTAAAGGAACACGACTGCGGGGGGGGGGCGGGGAGGGTGGGGGGGAGGGGGATAGCATTTGATTCAACAAAACACACAATTGGGGGGTATTGGTAATGTCAATTATGGGGAAAGATAAGTAAAAAAATGGGGGAAATGCAGAATCGCCGCTGGGGTTGATACTGTTTGCTGGGACGGGGCCGACCGGTACTGGAGGTCATGGTGCACTGGGGCCGACGTGCAGTGTGGTGTTCGGCGCAGTGCGGCGTGCGGCGGCCGAGAACCGCCATGCGTTTATTCCTACGCCGGTACGTGTGCTCTCGCCGCTTCGTAAATATAGCGTCGAGCGCACACGGTGGCGGCGTTCTTGTGTGCGTGTGGCCCGCGCGTTATATATACACGCGTTTTTAAAAATAAGATAAATTAACCTCGCGCGCTCGGCCGCCTGCACTTGCGCCGCCGGTCTATTTCGACCTCCCTGTATCCAGGGTCCCAGTTTGCACGCGGGTTCCCAGTGCCGAGTCACGTGCCCCCACGTTGCTTTCCCGCGTTGATCAGCTCCGTCCATTTCACCGTTTCGCTTTCCGCCACCGCCATTTCCCAACCCCCACGCCCCCACCTTTGCATCAGGCCCTTGACGTGGATCATTCCGCCGTGGACGGCTCCGCAACAGCGGTCGCCGTCGATAAACCGCGCTGACGACGGCGCGAGCAGGGCCGCGAGCCGGCCGCTCGCCCGGCACGTGGCAGTGAGCGCGACCGGGAGACACGAGACGTAACGCGCGACGCGGCCAGAGTGTGGCGCGGGCGGATTGTCGGCACGGCGAAGCGTCGGCGTCGGTCGCGCGGCAACCCCCGGGCGAAGGCGGCGACGGGCCCCCGCGCGACCGGCGCCAGGCGGCTAAAGCCATCGTGGCACTCGCCGTGCGACACCGTTCACGTGGCACAACTCACGCGGCACAACTCACGCGGCACAACTCGAGCGGCACAACTCGAGCGGCACACTCGACTCCGGGCACGGCTTTGGCGCGGTTCGCGTGGCGCCCCGTCCGTGGCGCTTGGCGTGCCGCACCTCACGGCTGTGCATGCCGCTTACCGCATGCATGGTCTGGCAGCTCCTGCGCGAGCAGACAGACGTTCCTTCAGCTGTGAACACGTGAGCGGTGCGACCACAGGTGACGTCGTTGACCACAGGTGATGATGTTTCGGTCCTTGCGGTGCCCACATGCTCACTGTGAAATTGGAAAGAAGCGGGTTTCTCGCTGGGCCACAGATGTTTGACGACAGCACGAGTAATGGCACTCGGGACAGACGCTGGTTCTCGTCGTTAAAGCCTGGAATATGTCGGGGTGGCCGCCCGGGTGATTTAGGATTTTAAAGACACTGAGCCGTCACAGCTGAGAGCCGAGGTTCTTGTCCCCCCTAGTCTCGCTCGCAGGTGGAGCGAGTAATGGCCTTGTTGCCAATGACTGCTCACACAACAACAAAAAACATCACATTCAATGAGCTTTTCACCTGATTCCGCAAATATATGAGGTCTGAGAAAAAAAATAGTATTTATCTCTGAAGAAATCTTGTTGTATTGACATTTGCCCCTTCCACACTCTGAGCCACATCAAACCTGGCCCAGAATGTGGATAAGTGGCTTCCGTAGAAATAGAGCGGTGCTGCGATGGGATTTTATGGGGCTTTTCTGTAACACAGGGTGGTCCACTGCTATCTTCGAGAATATCGAATGGAAATTCCTTTTACCTGGTGAAATTGCGCTGCCGGCAACGATTGGAATTTAACTGAATTGTGTTACGAGTCTGGTATTTAACCTCCTGGCACTCGCCAGTCATTCAGTAACCGACGACGCTGATTCTGTACGCCCAGATGAAGAGTTTCAGCTTCATCATTTTATAATTGAGTTCACGGCCACTACCGCCCCTGCAGAATAATTGCAGACAATCAGGACCGGCAAGTCAGGCCTGCTTGAGAGAGCTCGTGCAAAAACATTGATCGCTTTTCAGAGATAATTGAGCTGCCTGCAGGGCTGTCACGTGACAATGTTGCTGTTACACCTCAGCCTTCTATTGATTGCGTATCGCACCTCCCAAGTTGAGTCGGCCAAAATCACACGGATTTGTTTGTTTGCTTTGGCCGCGAGTCTGGTTCAGTTCCCAGCAGAGCTTCCGAATCGATGCTGCCCCGAAAAAAATCGCCTGATTACGATAAGAATTAAACGACATTTTCCTTGCGATATCCCCTTGGCAGCGGTCCACAAGCACAGGTATAATAATGAATTAACAAACTCGTCAATAACATAACCCGAATAGGAAAAAAGATACGTACTGTATATTTCACAGCTGACGTTTCAGGCAATAGTCCTCTTTCATAGCAGAGCTCAATGATGATAAAAAGGTTGACGCGCTGGCTGACCTGATCGTAATATAATAATATTATGATCAGGTCAGCCAGCGCGTCAACCTTTTTAATATAATTATATTACGATCAGGTCAGCTAGTGCGTCAGCCTTTTCACACACAGGAAGTATGCCGCTGCAGTGCACTGGTCTCAACAAATGGGCTTGCGATCCCGGCTATCACTCAAATCCTAACGAAGAGCATGCCAGCTGATGCCTGAGTGCCATTGTTTATGCGTCGCTCGCCTCGTGTGATGAGCGTATAGAGGCAAATCGAGAGGTGTCTGATAGCAGTAAGCTGACCCCGTTACCAGTGAATCGGTGAAGGTATATTGTGTAGCATTGTGAACAACCCATTTTCACCCATGGGGCCGTGGCGGACACGTCAAGCCTGGACTGATAACAGCTCACCACAACACCGCATAGGCACATTTTATTGTTATGATTACAAAACGATCACGTGTTGTTTGAAAATACCATGGGACACCTGGGTTGCTGGATTCATACTTATTTATTTACTGAGGTTGGGGGGGCGGGGTGTGTGTGGCAAGTGGTGTCACGGTCAGCACAATGTACGATGAATCCAGCAATTTGTGTTCGATTCCCGGCCACGGCTAACATCAGTGGTGAGCGATATCTGAACCAGTTCTGATACATAGACGCATATACACACACGCGCACACGTGTGTATATGTGAATATATATTTACTTGTATGCAGTTCAGTGTAAAAGCCTCGCGTGTGTATATCACGTTACCTGTGTCGCCCGCCCATGTTGGCATTCTTTTTCACAAGCCTTGTCTGCATTGAGGAAGCCAATATCTCAACCCTCGCTCTCTTCATCGCATGCCGGAAGTCCTCGTGTCATCGGCATCGTCGCAATGAAGAAACGCTACCGCCCTGAAGAAATAGCGCTGCAGCCAATCGCCAGCCATGACACCCTGACCGTCAATCCCACCCGTGAAATGTAAATGAGCCGAAAATCCTACAAAAGGTTGGGAATTTGTTGCTAAAATAAAAAATATCTAAATTATTAGCTTTCTTCTGAAACTCAATCCTAATGCAGACTGTCTGAAATGCAGCGCCTTCGTGAGAGCACTGCACTCCAAGAACGGCGTGAATACCAAATGTGCATCCTGTTCGTTGCACAAAACCCCCTCCGATTGGCTGCTGCGGTATTTTTCGGAGCTGTAGTTATTTTTCGCAACATTGCCGCGCATGTCCGTGTGTGTGCACGTGTGCACGTGTGCACGTGTGCGTGAGCACACAGGTGTGCGTTTCGGAGAATTTGACGGCATTTAAACAAAACAAATCTGTTTGATACTGGTTTCACCACTCACTTGCTTCATGCGCAACTGAGACCGGGGGGGACGTGAGCAGAATTTCTAGTTTCACGCCGGGTAACTGCGGGAACGTGGCTGGGTTTTAATGACTCTCGTCAGCAAGGGGACGGCCAGACATTTTCATTCATCGACCAAGGGTGAGAACTGGACACTGGTTGTGTTCGGTGCGGTGATGGTGGTCGTGGTTATCCAGGCAGAGCTAACATAAGTTAAATTTAAGAGGAATTCCTCAATCACTTTATTTTTGGTAAATACGATCAAAATTGAGCATCCATCATCATGAATAATGTAAGCAACAAAATAAACAAAGTGTACGCCTCCTTCCCATATTTTGTCTCCGCATAAAAAAAATATCTTATTTTTGCACTACCCATTGGCCACACGGCCTTCTGGGAATTCGTCTCTTCAGCAGCATTGGTTTCATTTCTGCAGCTCACTTCGCATCAACATGTCGGAGTGCTTTATGTCAAACAACATTTATACGGATGTTTAGAATACATTTTAAAAACTGGAAAAAATTCATTCTACCAGTTTGAAAAAGGATAAATTATTTGTCTGCGTTATTTTTTTCCCAAATAATACATTTCGAGCACCTTCAATGAGAGCGAAAGGAGAAATTTTACTTTAAAATTGTGTTTAAGTTGAGTAACTCATCCTGCTTATAATTCGAAATTCGTGGCCGTGGAATAAGAGGGCTTCTTAGCAAGCTTAAGTTCAAGCTGATCACCACATCCAGTATTCCTCTGGCTCTATGGTCTGCGGATATCGAGTCACGTGCCACCCACTTTAATCTAACTGTCACCCAGAAAACAATTGGTGAGAAAATAATCCCTGTTCTTAGCCTCACCAATGAATAATGCAACTCTTTTCTGACTCGGCAATTATCCCATGAAAAACCACCTATACCGGCGAGGGCCCTGCGCTGGTACGGCACGGATGTGCCAATGGAAAAGAGGTGTAAGAATGTGCGCTGGGTGATTTGCTCGCCATTACCCCTCCTCCAGTGTTTGTGCGCCACTGTAACGGGGCAATAAATGCACCGAAGCGATTAACAGCCGTTTATTTACGTTCAGCGTCACCTCCGTAGCCTATGACCAAATCACCTGGAATGTGGCCAATTCTCGTAATCTAAGCAGGTTGGCGCCCGGCCAGCATGTGTATGGTCAACCACTGGCCTTGTTACAGGCTGCGGGGGGCCACATTGTGGGCAGCAGCGAGCAGTACAACAAAATCCATTGTACTGTGCTGCCTGGAAAAGGAGCTGTAAATGTCCACACGTGTGCGTGATCTCCGTAGCAACCCATTTGCAGTTGATTTTCTGTAGTTTAACACTAACTTCCGCCTTGGCCTTTACACAAGGGTAGGCGCTGCTGCGTTTTACGCTGCGACGGTTATCGTCGCCGTGGCATTGTGCGAACGGGCGCTGAATATCTGGATCTTTGTGAAGGTGAACGGGCGGGCGCACGATCGATTTGGTGGGACCAGATTCACCGATTTGTTGCCTGTTTGCCCCACCCCCTTACGGCACCGCACTTTGCACTTCGCTTTTTCCCGCTCCTAACTTGGCTGTGCGCGTCCTCACCGGTCGGTGTGGCAATGTGGGAGGTTGGTGACCGTATGATCGTGGGCAAAGGGAGCAAGCGATGGTGGATTCAGCTGATAAACTGATGGACGTTTTGCATATTATGTGGACCAACCATGAAAGTGCATGTAACATCATTGGCCGAGGGAAGTATTTGTCAAATTCCAGTCGTTGGTGGCCCACCGCAATGCAGATCTCTGTGATTACCAATTATCCGGTGTGCAGCATGTTGCTGATTCGTTATACGAAGATTGGAAAACATCAGTAAGTCTGGAAGGTTGCACTGTGGGTGGGGGAGGGGATGGGAATGTGGCGATTGGAATTTGAGAATTACTTGCCCCCGAGTATGCCATCGTATGCCAGAGATTAATTTGGAATTTTTAATTATCCTCCCTGTAGGGCAGGACATTGAACGCATGAGAAGTGACAATGTCTAACTCTATATATTTTTTACAATGAAACACATTTGTATGCGTATGCACGTGTGTGCGAGCGCGTGAAGATGCTACCCGTACGTACGCATCTCACATTTTAATCCGGACAAGTTGGCTTTAATGCAGAGCTCGCGGACACGGTCACTCTGTCATCGTTTTGATTGCACTTTACACACAGTCTTGGGAATCGTGATTCAGGCGCCCTGCAGAGAGACCACATCGTCAATTTACCCGCCGGCACTCTGACCTACGATTCCCCCCGCTCTGCATGCTACGCACACGGGGGGGGGGGGGGGGGGGGGGGGAGGGGAGGAACGATTCCACAGCTGCGTACTAACCAACGTCTCTTCCTTCTTCCTCTCCTGTCTGTCCTTCATCCCTTCCCCATCTCTCCTCTTTCTGCTGCTCCGTCTTCCCTCGCCGGTGCAAAGCGCGCCAGCGAGCCTGTTGGACAGCCAGAAGCAGCTAGCCGCTAGGCCGAAGTGCATCCCTCTGCACTGTCTGTCAAAGCCCCCACACTTTCCGTAGTCCCTGGACGATTGCCGCCACGAGGGGCGACTCTATCTCGCCGCCCCCACCTTCCCCCTCCTCCGGCGACGTCATCCTTCGAGCGTGACCCGGGCTAATGTCAGCCGCTCAATTGCTCACTCGCCTGGCTCGTCCTTCAGCCCGGTCGTGCAAACTTAACGGAGAAACTCGCAGAGTCGGTCAGTCGGTGGGAGAGTCGAAGTTGTGCCCGGCACCAGGCCGCTATTTCGTTCCCCCCCCCCCCCCCACCCATGTTTTATTTTCGTCGACAACCCCCCCCCCCACATGGAAAGACACGGACATCACGGATGATAAATTAACAATTTAATAATGTCGATTTGTACGTCAGTAATAATTGCAGCGACGACAATAATAATCGATGAGCACATTTTGAGCGACGGTGAGCGAGGGGAGAGAGTAACACACGCAGCGTGCCTACATCCCGAGGCTCTCGGCGGTGGAACTTTAAAACGTTTCCTTGCATGGTTTTTCCCCGGCGTCTTTTTTAATCGCTTTATATGTGCACGCGCACGTGCAGAGCGGTGAGCGCGTGCGACAGGGTCGTTGTAGTTGCGCGTGCCACATCTCACAGCCTGTTGCCTTAGCGCTCACCGGACGGAGGCAGCGGTGATGCTGGCGATGTCGCGATTGGGTTGGCTGGCGGTGGCGTCGCGATGCGCTAGGGCCAAGGTGGCAGAGACGGATCTGGAAACTTTTCAAAAAGGTGGGCAGAGGGTGGAGTGGGGGGCAGTCCTAAAATTTCAAGCTTTTTGCATCTGGCTCTCTCGATTAAAAAAAACACATTTGATCAATTTTTTCAGATAAATAATCAACAAAATGCTAATTTTCAGGGTCTGGTGGGGGAGGAGCGGTGGTCAACCCCAACAGACCCCCGTCTGGGATCAGCCCCTGCATGGCGGGTGACATCGATAAGCCCCATAGCCGACTTGCTGCAGCCACGTTCAGGAGGTAGAAGCTTTGTGCAGTCGCTGCACCCAATGTGGCCTATCACCGACTTGTCGTCCGTGTTGAGTGCTGTCCCCTCGCGTACGTAGGGTTTATCCAGATTCCGGTTTATTCCCGCAAAGAGGAATGCACTCCTCACAGGACGATGTCCATCGGCCAAGCACACCAAGAAGAATCTTCCTGCAAGAGAGAGTCTTGAGACCTGACGAGGCTCTCCCAGATCACAATTAGAAGCAAATTTTAAAGCATTAAACATCAACACTTTCGGAAAATAACGAGGAACCCCCAAAGATGCCATGAATTGTCATAATCCAGCAATTTGGTGGTCATGATTACAATTTTTTCAAATTAACTGGTTTTGTCTCGTAAATTTCTCAGTTCTGATTTCGATTTAAAGCTTTCGTGACTGCAGGGATTCATCTTCTTGGTTCTTTCGGTAAAGTCACGTAGAATGTAAATAATAAAATAATACAAATAAAACATGATAAAATAATATCATAAAATAATAATTATTTTATTATTTTAATTTTTTTTATTTTATTTCCATTCTCAGTTCTGGTTTCGCTCGTGGCTTATAATTTGTCGTAACATTTGCGTTCGTCGTAATATAATCTCCTGTCTTGCGCACGCAATTCCAGACGTGTATTGTAAAGCATAAAGAATGAAACTTTAATCGATGCATCCTTTCTACACCTGGCTGTCGCGTCAATGGCAGCCGGTTAAGCCACGTGAGCATCTTGCAGTGACAAGGGCACGGGAGTTGCGTGTTCATGAGTCTGTGTGTCAATGTACACCGGGAGTGGTGGTGCAGTGGTTATCGTGCTGCCCTACGAACCTGACCACCCGAGTTAAATTTCCGCTGGCAGCCAACATCAGTGACGAATATCTTAACCGGTCCCTGGACTCCTCCTAGGTCGACTCAGTCTCAATTGAGTACTAGGTGTGGTGTGTAAACATCGACAAAGGCGGCGGCCAGGCGTGGTGCTGGCCACCCACCACCTCGTGTGCCGTGTTGACCATCATCGGTGCTCGCTAACAGCACTTGCCCCAACAGTCTGTTAAGGCTATACATGGAGGGGGGTGGGGGGGATCTTTGTCTTTTGTACTTGCTGTATATAATTACGCACACCTTATGCATTGAAGCGCGCGCGGGTGTGTATATGTACATACGCACCGAGCGGTTGCGTGTGCTTCTACGGTATATGCAAAAATGCGCGCGGTGGGTTGCGATGTTGCAAGCGGGAGGGGGGGGGGGGTGATTCACATGCGAAAATCTGCCGTCGCTACGTGGCGCTTCCGGCGACGTAAAACGGATGACACGTCGTGCGTGCGTTGTTTTATTTTCCAATTTTAGCCGATCGAAGTGATGATCGTGGGCCGGAGCTCCCGTTGTGTGAAACGAAACGACGGGAGGGACTCGTGCCGGTTGTGTGTGTGCGCACGCACTGTACCTGTACCAGATGCCGCGTACAACTACAGCCGCAGTGATACATTGTGCAATGAAAAACAGCGAATGAGTGTTAGTCGCTTACGACGCCGTTATATTTTATGTTGTGTTATTTTTTTAGCATTATTATTTGCAGGAAGAGCAAATTCACATAACAATTAGTTCTTGTCTTGTAGGTCATGTGTTCAGGCTGTGTCCCCGGGCCTGCCCAATTCTTTTTTGTTCTTTTGAAGTTTGGAACTTGAGTGAGAAAGCAACTGTAAAGTTGTAACTTCAGGGGAAGGCTTTGTTATAGCACCTCAGTGATGTCACCACGATGATATCATTTCACAACGTGTCAAGTCTATTTCTATGTTTTTATCTTTTCTCAATGATGAAGCTTCACACAGTGTGCGGCTAGGAGATAAGCGCTATCGGTTGTGCGCATCGCACCTTCCTGTAACATATGCACGCTTGTTAGTTTGATTCGCTCGTTACAATTTGACCTCGAAATTGACACAAACAGTCGCAACCTGACGAGACGGAGCTTTGATATTTGTCCGGTTTTGGCGGTCGATTATGTTTTTCAAAGTCCGCTTCCGACTGCCGGGTTTGCAGATCTGGCCTACGTATACACAGTCCACGCGTACGCGCGGATGTTTGGCGTTCACAGTTTACTGTGGCCGTCTGCCGCGTTGCTCCGAGAGTGGGCGTGTAACGGTGCCATCGATTCGGCGATTAAACTCGGTTCTTACGCTCGCAGTACTCGCGTTGAATCGCTCGCGTACAAATCGAGAACGAGACGTCAAGGTGGAAGCGTTCTCAACAGACAGTACAAACGACCCTGCTGGTGCAGATTACACCAGCAATCCAAAAAAATGATATCCTGCTCAAATAAGCATTATTGAAGCATTGGTGCTCATTTCTCCCATTGGCACCCCAGAGTCAGGAGTGGAAAATCCACATTCCTATGGCGGGGGCGACTGTATTGCGCTGCCATGACGTACCGTCGAGTCGAAGGATGTGCGAATCGTTACATGCGCTGCTTCAAAGGCGACTGCGTATGTAGCCTTGTTTGCAAAGGGCGCTGCTATGGAAACTATATTATCACGGTCATTTTTTTTTTCCCCTTTTTATTGTATATCCTGTTAAGTCTGTAACTGAGACGTGCTCAGATATGGACAAGGGTAAGGGGTTGAGGCGGCCGTTCGTGCGTAAACCATCCTTGGGGTGGATGACGTCATTGGTTGGCTTTTAAGAGGCGACTGCTGTTATTCCGTCGATAAACATAATGTCTGCGGCGAATATTCATTTTTCAGCGGGCAAACATTCACCGCTTCACAGAATCGCAAGCGGCTTGCCGTCGTGAAAACATTAAGACTCGTCATTCTCACCATCATCATTATTTGTCTTCTCTGGGGGGAAAGCCTCGCTGAGCCTCGTGTGGAAGAGGAGGGCCACAGCAACGGGGATGTTGTTTGACCTTGTTTTGTTTTATTTACGTCGCTCTCGGGAGCGCTGCTGAACCGGTTTCCTCAACCGCCGCCGCTGCCGCCACCCCTGAATCGCCTTCCCCGCACGTGAATTCGACCTGAGCCCGGCGTGAGGATGAGCAACGCGAGACACACGCGGGGGGGGGGGGGGGGGGATGGGTGCCCGAAGGGTTCTCGCTGTCGGAGAGAGAAAATGACATAGGAATCAAATGTACTCTTAGTTTTTTCGGTAAAGTCACGTAGGTAAAAAATGAAATTAAAATTGATAAAAATAATATAATAATTTTATTAATTTTAATTAATTTTTTACCTACGTGACTTTACCAACAAAACTAAGAGTATGAATCCTTGCAGTCACGAAAGCTTCAAATCTAGAAGGAATCAAATGTGTGGAAGGTCGGGCTTTATGGATCTCAATCATGTGCGGTTGATGCTTAGCTTTTGATGTTACACTAATTCGTTTTTCTTTTGCTGTGTTTACATGGAATTACCGTATATCAACTTGTATGTAAATACGCCGCGCATCACTAATTTCAGCCGCGGCACACGCGAGTTTAAGGCCGGCGACCGGACTGTCTACATCGTTGGCACAGGCGATGCAATCAAAGGTGTTATTGCGTTTTTATTTTAATCGTTTGAGATTTGTTTTTATTGTGAAATATTTTTTATTTAAGTTTGTGAGTTCACGTCGATGTCGAGATGCCCCCCCCCCCCCTCTTCCGTGGCCCTATTGGCAGTGAGCGGAGCCTGCGATTCGGGGCCCCGTAACGACGCGTCCATTAATCAATCAAAATCGCGATGCACGCAATGGATCCCGTGAGCGAGCGAGCGAGCCATCGTTTATTCGTACATTTCATGCAAATTACGGAAATTGTACAGACGACTGATTCGCGAATGTTACGTTTAGGGCTAACAGAGCAGAGAAAAGCTGCGCAAACGAGGCGAAACGTTTCAGACGGTGAAAACGGGACAGAAAATGTATCAATTCTGAAGCCGAATCCCGATCACAATCGTATCGCTCAGGAGTCGGGGGGGGGGGGGGCACATGCAGTGCGGTGTGAATGGTTGCGTGCCCTTTGCACTGCCCTCTCTCTGCTGCTGAGCAAGGGGCCATTTCCCGGAACATCCCCTCGTCATGTTGTTCCGTTGCCGTGTCATGGGCGGTGTTTATATGGACTACGATGATGGTCGTGGCGTTTACATGAAGACCGTTATCTTTTTGCCAGGGCGAATGTACAGCCACAGTGTCGGTGTGGGAGCTGCCCACCGCTGCCAGTAAGGGCCAAGCCACTGGTGTTGTTAACCCCACAACTGAAAAGCAAATGAAAGTGAAGAGGCCTCACTCGGTAATGGAAGGGGCGAATACTTGGGGAGCGGAACACACGAATATGAACCGTAACAAACTAGCCGGCCAAATGCTTATCCCTTAACGATCCAATCACACACTACGTCCTCGTCTAAACTAGCCAATCAGCCACTACGCCGTAGTATAAACTAGCCAATCAGATACTACACTGTAGTCTAAACTAGCCAATCAGCCACTACGGCCTAGTCTAAACTACCTCGCCAGCTAACCATGACCATAGCAGTTTAATAAATGAGATCCTGGCAGGAGCCTTAATTCTCATCCTGACAAACTGAGCAAACCAGCCCCGAACCGTGCACCACAACCAACGCGGCAGAACTTCGCTACAACCACCTGGTGCCGACTTGATGCACGATTTGCCACTTGCGTCGCCGCCGTTGAGAATTTGACGATTCACCAAAACCAGCCCCACGAGATGCCCCCCCGAGACCCTGTCCGCAGCCCCGGATCGTTTGTCCGGTTTCGTTCGCTTTTCAGTTTTGGTCTTCACAGCACCACCCCCTCCCCGTGTATAACGAATACTGCCATAACGTATTTTTTTCATTTCGCGTAACGGAAATGCAAAGTTATCCATAATGTCCGATATGTTTACGTACGTGCGCGCTGCTAATTTGTAAATCGATGATGAGCACTAACGACGATCCTGATTGAATAGCCACGACGGATGCATTCACTATTTTCCCCCGAGTGATGTAAGATAATGCTCGCTGTACATAAGTATTACCCGCAACTTGTTAATTTCGAAGCTGGGTGATGGTATACACCACCGCGACGACGACGGCGACTCACGTGTTCCGCAAAAACCTGGATTTTATACAGACGCGGGGGGCCCTCTTCGTAGCCCCCCTCCCCCGCCTCCATCTTTACACCATCGACACAGAGTTACCGCAGGCACCCTCGGTGTCTCTCCCCGTACCGCCGGCAACGCGCGGTGCCTGGGTGTCTCGCCGAGAAGCACACTTTGAATTGGCCGGGCTGAAGACCACCACCCTCCTCTCCTCCTTCTGCCTGTGACCGACCGTCTCTTTTTTTTCCCTCTGAAATAAATCGATAAGTCCACTGTTTCTGTGCGTTGTCTTGCTGTCGCATTTACACGCACGCCGAGTGAGACCGGACTGTGTTGTGTTGGTGGGGGGGGAGGTGCTATGCTGCTGATCATTCTGCTGCTGTGCATTGAGAGTGCAGTTTGCGTCGTCTTTGCTTCTCTGTTGAGTTTTGCTTTAACTTCGCCGGGTCAGTCTGTTAGGCTCTTATGTTGTGAGTCACGTCCCGGATAATTTAACGCAGCTCACGTGTCCAAGCCGGACATCTCGACAGCGCCCTTTGTCAATCCACTGCTGGATGAAGGCCCCTCCCCAGGCCGGCGACGTGTCCCCGCCATCGCGCAATTCAATTCGTCGCAGCACACTGGTTCGCGCGCTGCGCCACAAGCCCAGTGAATCGCGTTTGATTCCTTCTCGTGCGTGGCTCAACATCGGTGGTGATCTCAACCCCTCTCGTCGCCAACCAGCATCGACCAACACGGTGAAGCATGGTCAAACAACTGCCGTGGCTGGTGCGGCGTGGGAAGAGGCGCTCTTCCGGCAGTGCGGTACTGACAAGGCTGTGCAAGCAAGTCGTTGCCACAAATGTTTTTCCCAACTTCTGTTCTGGGCCATGTGCCGCCTTGTACACAATGTGCGTTCTACCACGGCCGCACGGCGCGCTCAGACTTGTGTCCTCATTACGTGCGCAAGTTATGTTGGCCACTCATTTGTAAACTGCTCGAGTATTAGCATCCATAGCGCAGATAAACAAAACACAAAAACACTTTCCCGCATGGCCTTAACAGACTGTTGGGGCAAGGGCTGTTAGCGAGCACCTATGAAGGCCGCAACGGCACACAAAGGGGGTGGCCAGCACCACGCCAGGCCGCCTTTGTCTCTCCGGGGCTGGTGTTTACGCACCGCATCAGGTGCCCATTTAAGGCTGAGTCGACCTGGAGGAGACCGGTTCACATGTTGGTCACCGATGTTGACCGAGTGGGAATTGAACTCTGGTCACAGAGATTATATCGCGGTGTGCTAACCACTGCGCCACCGCTCCCAGCATTACATATGCGCACACACAAATACACAAGTTTGCACGTAGCGTGTTGGTTTTGCTAAATCTGTCCTGAATTAAATACAAATGTAATTTTCCCTGCGCAGACCACTCAAGAGGAGGGGAATTGAACAGGGAGCCCCATGCCAACCACGCTACTACGTCACTAGTGCCTGGTGAAGACGTTACAGGACAGGCTGACGTTCTGGCCCCAGACCCGAAATAAGAGCAACCTCTGCTGTGAAATTGTGTTTTACGCGTGCATTTAAGGACATGGATTTGCATCCAAACACCTCGGCAGCGTCTCGCGTAGCACCTCGGGCACAACCGTTCCATTGGCCTCCTGCAGTCTAGCAGGCAAGGGGACCCCCAGGGGCAGCTGTCCCTGTGTGCCGGCACAAGGTGTTCACAGCAGTCGGGGGGATGGGTGGGTGGGTGGGGGGTGATCGTGAGACGAGGTGTCCCAGCCAACCTGCCCGTGGCTACATTCCGTCAAAACGGAACGACCCCACCCTGGAAGGAACTCGCTCCGCGCGATGGGCCAAAAGAAACCACCGACAAGTTAAACGCGATTCATAATTAGTTACATTTTGGGCTAGACCGCTTTGTGCCGGGGTCGGTAACCTGCGGCTCCGCAGACGCATGCGGGGATCTTCAAGGACTGCTTTGGTGGTATCGTTATGAAGGGCCGTCTCGTGTGCACGTGCATTGCGGCTCTTGAAATATTTAGGGGTTTTTTCTTCCAAATTCTAAATAAATGGCGTTTGTTATTTTGTTTGCAAGCCCCTGACTCAGTAGGTACAATGCCAATTCTTCACGAGAACCAAATGAAATCAAGTTGTCACGTGGGAAAATGCGACAATTGTTTTGGGTTGAATACACCATTTGATAGACCGGATCACTTGGCATATTTGCCCAACTTGATTTGAGGTGACGTTCACTCGTGAGTGAAGCAGCCTGTGCGTGACATTACTATTATCATGGTTATGACACCGGCGGTATTAACCAGGGCGACCGCTGTATTCGAACCGCGGATTTCTGCATTAGGCACCGAACGCTCTACCGCCGCTGGCCCGCGTGTATTTTGTGTGCGTCAGTGGTCTTCGACATCGAGCTATGTAGCAGGCAGCCTGGGTTCAATCGGTTACCACGTAGGCTGCGACCAATGTTGCCCATTTATCGAGTTTCTTTGGGTTAGATCGAGTAAATATGTGTCGTTAAATCTGCCACCACCCGACAAGCCAACTTAGGAAGGGTTGTCACGTAGACGAAACATGCCAATGAGTTGCTCGTTCAGCAGATTAGTGTGTTGGAGAGTAAACCCACAACATTTACAATTCGAGTACGTATTCTAAAGAAGCTAACCTCCTTTTCATGATGACGACCGCTTGTGTTGCGATCGAAACGTCGTAGTTTTTTGTTATTTTCTTTGAACCTCTCTACGTGGCTTTACCGAAAGACCCAAAGAATATGAATTCCCGCAGTCACGAACGCTTTAAGTCAAGATTTAATTCGAGGACGTTTCGCTCGTAATTACAACCAGCTTTATCAGGCGATAGCCAGAATTGTGGATAATTCCTCCTGCTTCGGTCTTGAATGAGTTAAATTCCCACCAATGGGTTTCACCAGTGGCGCGTGTCTTCTCAGCCCCTGCTGGGCCTCCTCTAGGTAAGCTCAACCTTTAAACGCGTGCCGGGTGGGGGCAGAGGACATCGGCATTGAGGGGACAAAGGCGGCCGGGAGTGGTGTTGGCCGCCCACCCTTCTCATGGGCCACACCAGCTTTCATAGATGCTCACAGCCCTTGCCCAACCGTGTGTAAAGGCTATACGGGGGTTCTTTGTGTATATTTTGATGATGCTTTACCCAGGAAAGCTCATACCGAGTCTCGATTTTTTTCTGGAAACTACTGCCAAGTCTTCTCAGTAGGGGGCGATAGTTGCCCTGAAGGCATTGAAACCCGCCACCCTGGCCAACTGGGTTCAATTCACTACAAATAGGTAAAGCCAGCGGTTCGTGATATCTGGACACGTTGTGGGCCACCTCCTAAGTTAACTCGGCCGTAAAACATCAGCGCTGGTTATTCTCACGCGCAGTGCACACCTTAGGGGCCGTCCATAAATGACGTCACGCGCCTAGGGGGGGGGGGGTCAGACATTTGTGACGATGTGTTTGAGAAATGTGACGCCACATCAAAATGCGCAACTTTCAATAAATATAGACAACACGTTCTACTTAATTAAATATACTTTTTAATAAATGTTTTCTCCTACAACATCAGAGTGCAGCGCCACATTAAATGCGCACTACAATGACATTAGTTTAAAGCGATTTGAAGCATGTTTTATTTTCAAACTGGAAATATGGTTTGGGGGTGGGGGCAGAGCTTTGTGACGTCATATTTGAGGGGGGGTCTGGCTTTTTGTGACGCCGTGTGAGGGGGTCAAAAATCGTCCAAAATCGCGTGACGTCATTTATGGACGGCCCCTTAACAGGTAACGGCCGACAACATATCGACCGCGATGGCCTCGCAGATCTTTTCAATAATTTAAGCCAATTGGGGCGACCACCAACCTTGCCTTCCAAAAGGTCTGGATGACAAGCGTGCACCACACCCAGGCCCGGCTGAACATACTTACCTGTACAGCGCAATTTACAATGCCTCCAATGTTGTAATTGGCACAAAACAGTTCACGGACATGAGTCCCGTGACTGATGTCCACGATCGGTGTCAATTGAATTCTGTGGCCAAAATAGGTGGGGCCTTCAAGAGAGAGAGAGAGAGCTTGCCCGACGAGAGGCGAGGCGTTAAACGAAGGCCGCCTCATCTTTCACAAAGGCCTCGCCTGCTACACAGGAGGGCGTGGGTTCGATCCCTGGACCTTGACGCCTGCGGTGTATTGGACTTTGCTCGCTCTTTCTCTCTCCGCGTGGATTTTTCTCCGGTTCCTCCGGTTTTTTGTCTCCCTAATTAGAATCAACATCACGCGCGTTTATAAAGTATTTGGCTACTGCTTTACATTTCCACATGAGCCACTTCGTTGAGATATAATTTGTGAAAAAGCTCTATCTTAGTGGGCATTACCTGGTCTAATAAAATTGTTTAGTTTTGATCCACTTGCTGGATTAAAGTCTCCCCATGCCTTTTCGGTCGTACATCGCCACAGTGCGGGTTGGGAGGCGGGCAGCGTGGTTGTTCGGAAGCATACAAGTACAGTACAACAATGGACTTGGCTGCAGTGGCAATTGCGTGGAGTAAACGGTGCGTTGGGTATTCTTAGGTTTTTTTCGGTAAAGTCACATAGGTAAAAAAAATAATAAAAGTCAAATACTTTTATTAATTTATTCTCACGAGCAGTGCCTAATTTTATTTTTTACCTACGTGACTTTACCGAAAAAACCTAAGAATATGAATCCTTGCAGTCACGAAAGCTTCAAATCTAGGTGTTGGGTGTTTATGACAAATCAAATGGGCACGCACACGGCTGGTGACGGATTGGCAGCGTAACTACAGAACGGGTCCAAGAGGGCGGCCGCCCCCGGCTCTCAGACAGGTGGCGACGAAGACGACGTTTCGTGTGCAGCAGCAGATGGGATGCACTCGACCGCCAGGGATGGTGATGGCACGGGAGGCCTGCATGGACTCAAAAGCCCACCGAGCGAAGCAGGGGTTTGTCAGAAGCGACATGGCCACAAATTATAGCTCAACAAAAAGTGGCTTGTCGTGTGGAAATGCATAGCAGCCAAATACGCCGAACGGATGTTTCTTAATGCGGAGGGGAAAACCACGCGACTACGGGGAGAACACGCAAACTCCAATCATTTGGAAGAATGTTATTAACCAGGTAATGCCTTAACTGGTTGTGATTGTTTCCATCCTACCTGCCGTTTACTAGATTTTTATTCCCCCACCCCCCGTGTCCCACACTCAAGCTTCCCACTTCTAGCCCCGCCCACTTCCCCCACCAGCCTCACGTCCTC